TTCCTTAGCACGACAAGGTGCCTCTCAGATCGTGCAGTATCGCTCCTACGTTGCACAGTTGATCGAGTCAATAGGAGAGATCGGACAAAATTTGAAAACTTTAAACGCTTATAACTCCGTTCATAGAAAGTTTTGAGGTTCTAAAAGTGGTTCCATTGGTTTCCTCGTGAAATTTTCTACTTGAAACACCCCTTGAAATGTAAAATGTGGCGAGATAAACGCCTAAATTTGCAGTTTTAGTCAAAAATTTTATGTCCGGCCTCTCCGATTGACTCGATCCGCTGTGCTTTGTAGCAAACCCAACGAGCAGACATGCTAATAAAGGATCACTAGACAAGGTGCGAATTTAAGGAAAAACATTCACTTTAATTGAAAATATTTCTTTCATCAAGGAAAAATTTCGAGTGAATAGATTTTGTTTCCGACGATCAAATTTTAATAATCGTTTACTTGCCACATGCTATTAACATGCTGATACGCTTGTAGAAACACGTATCCCTCATTCTCTAAGGGAAATTTCGACAGCTCGCACATCTTCGGCTCTGAACAGTCGAGCTAAGGCGGATGACAGAAAACACACTCCGTTTTAAAATTAAAATAAAATTTTGACAAACCGATCACACGCCGGGAAAAGTTTTAATAGGCTCGTGTAACGTGCCGCGACAACATTTTCACAAGCGTGGGGCGAATAAGGTGTCGCACGCTAGTGTCCCATTAGCCGCGTTAACGATTTGTTTCTGTCAGGGGTCCGTCATCAATTAGTGAAAGACCAGCCAAAATATAACTGGCACCTTCTATTTTTCTTGAAACAACCCAGCCTACGGGCACGAGAGAATGACTTTCGGAACCGTGTTGTTTCTGGCCTGAAAATTCAAATCAACAGATTTGACACGGTTACTCACTTGCTATTACGCCTTCGATTTTTGAGGTAGGCCACAAATCCTACACTCGTAGTGTGAATCCCTTGTATCTATTCGAGGATTTTTATCTCGTGTCTTGTACTTTGCCTTTTGTTGGTATTTATGTGTTAACGAATTAATAAATAAGTAAACTAGTAAAAAATCCTTTTCGTTTTCCAGGAAAGCGGTCTTTAACACGCCCTAGTCATATAATTTAACCTTTAACGAGAGCTATCATAGTAAAATCTGGAATTGGATTTTTAAGTGATTTTGTCACTTTTTTAAGTGCATTTTAATTTTTTTTTACCTTAAAAGCCTATAAAATCATGACAAAAATGAACCTCATCAGCGCCCAAACGGTTGTTTTCTTCTAGTATATTTTAAAATACAAGGAGGATAAAAAACACAAAATTTTCGACCACGGCTCAAAAAAATGTAGATGCTTTAAAGCACGGCACGATTGGAGGTCCCAAAAAACATGAGTGTAGCTGTGGCTTTACCTTTTCGCTTCTCCTTGGTGCTAACAAGAAAAATTATTAGGTTATTTCATTTACCCTGTGGACTATGATGTGTAGGTTTTGGGTTTTGTTCCCTCTTAACTTTCTCCTTATTTTATTTAATTGAGAATTGGATCGTCATAATTCAAAAATATCGCTCCAGCCTTCTAAATGTCTTTAGTCTTTAATCCTTGGGTACTTATTTTTTATGTATTAATTCTTTCTCTCACTCATTTCGGGCTATAGCGTAGTTTTCATTTTTTTAATATACTTTAAGTTCGCGCGCAATTTTTTGTTTCAAACGAGAAAAGAAAAATGAAAAAAGAAGAAGAAATAAAAACGAAAAGAAAAAAAAGCAAAGGAACTTTCAGCTAATCCAATTCAATTCTATTTCCTTTTTATCTTGAAAGCGCAAACTTTTTGTGCCATTTAAAAACTCGTTATCTTTTATTTAAGCGATTCCATTCTCGATTTCAAGAGTTGCTTCTTACAAGGTGGAGTTTTGCGCGAATAATTGGTCCGTGTTCGTAATTCTAAATCCATTTGTTGGATGTAGTTGCCGTTTGACCGACGGCTAATTCCCGTTTCCACGTAAAAACGTTTTATATTAATTCTAGTCCATTATATCCTCGCTCGAGTTGACAGCGTGCCTTTACTCCGGACCGTGACATGTAAGTACGAAGCTCGCAGACGTTTGAACTTGGAAAAATAGAGCTGCCACGAAGCTCTCATTAAGGCCCCACACCGACGCGAGAATGAGAATTTATGTTTCCTCTCTTGTTATTTTATAAACGGAGATGTTTTTGTTTTAATTAAACCCGGTCCCTTGTTTCCATCAAACAGTGGCGTGGCGTGAATTGCGATATATCGATCGTTCTGCCATTTAAACCTTTGTTAAAGAATCGATTATTAAGGTGTTCTCTGCGAGCAACCTGTTTATCGATCCTTTTCCATAGGTTTAAATGGCATAACAATCGATGTATCGCAATTCACGCCACGCCTCTGGGGGCAGGAGTCCCGATGTCAGGGTTTTGTTTCAATGGATGCTCACAAGACCGAAATGGCAGTCTCCGTTCCTGATTTTCATTACTTCCTTATAATTTTCAACTGTCGGTTATTTTATAATAATTACTGGACGAGTAGAAGTGCATTACTTGATAGGTGCCAGTCCACACTAAAAAAAAGTATGGTAACACTTACTTAAAGTCTTTTTGATTTTTTACACAGTGATACTATTTAATGAAAATAACCAGAATTATAGTATGTAGTAATCGCCAGAACTCTGGCGATACTTACCATATTATGTTACATACAATAGTTTGGTATTTTTCACCATACTCGGATCATTGTGTCTGAGAACGGTAAATCTACCATATTTTTTATTTCAGTGTAGGTTTTGCTAATGTTTTACGACTGTTGCTTCTATTTCTTATTGTAAATCCAATGATTTGGAACAATTAATATACTGATAAAAGACCAAAATTTACCGAAAATTTTCTCATAATTCTCAGGAAAAAAATCATAATTTCCCCTAAATTTTGGTGACGGTCAAAACACACAAAAAAATAAAAAAGGAAAGAAAAGAAAAATAAATACACCATCGAAGGAAAGTGAATATATCAGAACAATTTACAGGTTTTAAAACTAAATCAAAACAATTATACACATAAAGCTTTGCCGTAAACTTAGACTTCAAGGTCCAGTCGCTCATTTAGTTACCAAAAATTCTTTGACAAAAATGCGTGAAACATTAGAGGAAGGGAAAAATATGATGTAATGACTTCGCACATGGACTTTAGTAGAGGGGAATGAAATTTTACTTCATGAAATAAATTTTAAATCTGAAGGACTAAACTGAAGCTGAAAAAATAAAGTTATAAAAAATTTTAGATCATGGCTTTTTTCAATAAAACATTTTGTTTCGAGAGGTGGGGAGGCTATTCTTTTTATTTATTTTTAGCAGTAAATGCTGTCTCGTTAACAGTAAAGTTTTTACACAATTTGTGTTTTTTTTAAAAAAAAAATGCAAATTATCATGATACAAAATCTAAGTGCCTGTGTTAAAAAGGGAATTTATTTACAGCTTTAAATTCCCAATTTTTTTTCAATTCTTTGAAGCCTTTCACTGAATAAGAATAATAATTTGGCATGACTTAATCTGTTTTTTCTCTAAGCGCGAATCAACTCGCAGTTCATCTCCGACAATGTTAATGTTATACGGTTGACAACCTCCAGGGAAAAGTAAAAGCAGTTTTTTTTTCTGCCTCTAACCTACACCTGTGTAAACAACGAATACGTAAAACTCACCGATGCTAATTCGTCATTTTTTTTCACCACTTCCCGACGAAAGAAAAAAACTAAAAAGAAAGTTTGCGACACCACGGTTCTCACGCATTATTGTGACCGCACAACTGCACGTTGGCACTTTCTTATTCCAGCGCACACACAAAAAAGAATGAAGTAATATCGCACAGAAAGTAAATTTTCTTTTCATATCATGTACATATTTACAAAAGCCTAGGAGCAAAAACTAAGGAACAAAAAATCGAAATGTCTTGTATCTTATGATTAAAACAAGAGCTTGGAATGCAGTTACCGCTAAGTGCATTTTTACAGCCAAGTTGTAATTTTTTAGTATTAACGATTTGGAAAACATTTGATTATAAAATGATAAAATATTTACATATCTATAATAATTGGTAATGGATGACGATGAATGATGATGATTTATACAAAGAGTGACTCGATCCATAAAATGACTATAACGACTAAACGCTCAATGAAATGCACTAGTCAGTAAATTATACCAAAGAAATAACAATTAGTATTTTGTCAGCTAAATCAAGGAACTGAAAATAAGTTGGTTCCTGGAGGAGGCAATTGAAACTAAGTTCTTTTTTCATAATAATGCGCAGCTGGATGGTCTATAAAAACTAAAGAAGAGCCATCTTACGATTGGATCGCATTTTGCAATTAGAAAGTACAACATCTAGCTCATTATACGTATAACATATGTGCCATCGGGTTCCCTTTATTACAGTCAGGTGTATTTATGTATGAGCCAGAAATTGTACTTCCTTATTGCAAAATGCGGTCCATGCGGGTTTCAAGTATTCGATTGGAACTGACTTATTTGTATTGCATTGCAAGTTGGCAAAACTGTTTTTCGTCCCTTTCGATATACTATGAATGGGACCGAGTTTAACAGAAAGGAACCAAGCCACATCAGTTATTGCCAAATGTAACTGAGCAATTAAAATGTTTACGAGAGAACGTTTGTTTGGATTTCTTTGGAAAATTCCTTTCTTGGAAATTTTAGGGAATTTGCCTCGTACCGTGGAAAATTTTCACTGAAATTTGCACGAAAATCCGCACAACCGTTTTCATGTAAAAAATTGAATTGCCCAATTAAATTTAGCAACAGCTGATGTGGCTTGGTTCCTTTCTGTTTAACGCGGTCCAATGATCAATCCTAGGTCAGCCAACCTGCTTCGACAGATATCGACTATTTGAATAAAACCTTGTATTGCCAACTTGCAATAATCGGAACTGCATTAATTCCAGCCGAACTGACAGAAAAGTCTCGTCTCGGTATATTGTCTCAGAGTGCGTCATTTTTAAAGTTAGATAGCCCACTCAAGCAGGAGTTGTCACATTACCCGCCGTCGGGAAATTCGACTCGATAAAACGATCTATCCTCATGCAAGCTGCGTTGATTCGCAAGAACGAGGGATCCCGCGGAACGTTCTTCCGCCTGATGACCTTGACATACCTCCTGAAGGCGTCGCAGACGGCTCGAAGGTTTCGGGTCGACTCCGTCATGAGTCTGCACGCCTCGCCTTTCGTTATCTTTAGCTTCCGGTCGAAGAGCTGCTGGTTGCGGAAGCAGAGCGTCAGGGTCGCGATTGCCATGCACTGCGGAATGGCGCAGAAGTTGAAGGCGCTCTGCTCCTGGACGCCCGTCAGGTAGGAGAGACACTCGGGGACGTGCTCCAAGGCGTCGAGCACCATCTCGGAGCCGCAGTTGAGGGCCGCCAGCCGGTGCTCCGGGTCCAGGAGGTCCTCGAAGTCGTGGACGTACTTGGACCAGACGGCGCGCGGCCAGAAGCGCCGCCCGTCATCGGCGTCCTCCTTGATGTCCCGGATGATGTTGGTCTTCTGGAGGAAGAGCCCCATGGACACCTGGAGGCGGCGTCCGTCCTGGAGCGCGGGCGGCGGGCGGTAGAACTTGGCCTCGAGGAACATGTCGGTGAGGCCCTCGCCGACGACCCCGGCGGCGTAGTAGCAGTACTCGTCGTAGTCGTCGCGGGTGTCGACGCCCGGGCCGTCGCTCTCGGCGCGGAGGCAGTAGTCGGCCATGGCGTGGCCCATCCGGCGGATGATGTCCCTGATGATGTCCTTGTAGACCTGCTTCTGGAGCTTGAACTCCTGGATGACGCAGTCGAAGTCGAGGAGGAGGGCGCGGTCCTTCTCCTGGGGTCTGTTCTTGGTGAAGTGCCAGCCGTCGGTCTCGAGGTTCGAGTGGAAGTCGCGGAGGGTGAGCTCTTTCTTTTTGGCCGGGATGGAGGTGTCGTCTTCGATGGTGTCGAGGCCGCGGGCGATGAGGTAGAAGAGGCAGATGGGCATGCGCAGCTCCGGGTGCAGCTCCTGGATGAGCGTGCTGAAGCTCCGGCTCGTTTTGTCCAGGTACGCAAAGCACCTTTTGGTGTTTGTCGTCTCCTTGGCCTCGTCCCGGATGTGAGGTGGCTTGTACCATAATTTCCATTGCAGAACCCATGGTATTTCATCCAGGTGGAGCAGGTAATAGACGGTGCTAGACGCCGAAGGCATTTGTACCGCAGGAACCTGCAATAGATACATATTAGTCAAAAAGAGAAACCGGGTAAAGCAGGAATATTTCGGAAAAGGAAATTTGTTTCAAATTTATATGAACGTAATTTTTTAAAAATAATTTTCGAAGTAGTTTTTAGGAATTTTTAGACTTTAAACTTGTAATACGCAATATTTAGAAAGTTTGATTTTTATGATCGTCAAACCAAATCAACTCACCGTTTTTCGTTTCAGTCGAATTAAACGAACTCTTGCGATGGAGTTAAGCAACATGATTTAAAAGGCGGAGGAAAATTAAGTTGACTTCTGTTACATAAAAATATGCAATGAATACCTGAAACATTACCGTTTGAGAGGATTTCAAAATTGGCGAAAAACCACGAATTCATGAGAATGGCGGAACTAAACACCGGCATGCGGTGTTACCGACTTCAGATACGATGTTTTGCAAATGTTTTTTGCGAATAGTTGTGAAGGCAATTTTGACTTTAAATTTCGACTCGATGTTCTTGAAACCATCAAAAAGTGTTTAACATCAAACAATAACATTCTATATCCCCCCCTCTCCCATATATACCGAACAATTTGAGCCCCTACCGTATGACAAATGTTGCTTGGCTCCATCACACTAAAAATGTATTTCAAGAGTATGTTTTTTCAAAAACACCGTGGGGAAAAAATTGCAATATTTTCTTATATTTACAATAACTTTCATCAATATTTTTCTGCAAAAATGTTGTACAAATATTATTACTTAGGAAATGACTGCGTATGGAATTGAATAAGTTTATTTTCAAAAACAAATTATTTTTTTTTCTAAAATAAAGAAATTAAATTTATTTCACGATTGTCCAAACAAAAACAATTAATGATTTTACTTGGAAAATCTTTAAAATATTTTAATTTTCTTTTAAAGAAAAATCAATTAATTTATTTTTCAAAATAAACTTAAGGTTCAGACTGACTGCAGGTGTCTTATAGCCATCATATATATGCATTGAAGCCTAATAAATTTTCTATATCACTACTAAAAAATAGAATTTTTAGTCTGAAGTAATAATATTTTTACGACATTTTAACATTTTTAAGTCGTTTACTCGAAGGGTCATGTTCCATGTTTATATATCATTTTAATTAAATAGATATTTTACTAAAGTCTGAGACGGGGAGTGGAATACCATCTTTCGAAAATGTGTGTGTGAGATTTCTTAAAATATCATAAAACTTAAAATTTTTTGAACCGCGGAAATTTCATTCACATTGCTTGACACTTTTAGCACATGTATTGTAATTATAAAATTGTAAAAAAAAGAAAAGAAAAAAAACTGTTTTCCTACGCTAATGCTTCAACAGACAAATATAAAAAATTAACTTTTTCTGTTCCTCTCAGCATAATTTTGGAATTTTTCATCTTAACATCTAAAATATGTATAGGCGCAGAGTACGTAACTCGCTTTCGAAATATGTATATTAAAGAAATGAAAAGCGATTTTAAATCAAGATTTCGTGCGTTTTGAAGAAGTTTTAGTTTTGCAACGTGGACTAGATTTATCGGTTAGGATAGGTTTTAGAAACAAGCGGCAATTAAATTTTCAAATTTTTTGAAAAATTCAAAAAATTATTCGAACAAGCAGAATATTTGTCCAATATTATAAAAACTTTATTCCCTTATTTCACAATAAATGGAATCATTATTCGCGTCAAAATATCGAACGTTCAGCTCGTGTGCCAACAAGTAACGATAAAACCACGGCGGACTTCAGGTTGACAAAAGTCGAAGAAATGAACCCGCGGCAAAGCATGAAAATACTACTACTCACTTTCAGCGTCGTCGGAAAGCAGATCGAAGCAGAGGCCCGTCCAAGAAGCAGAAAGTCAGATCGGATCCGCGGTTAAATCACTACTGAAAGTACGGTGGTTTCCAAATTTAAACTGTGAAACTATTTCCCAACTCTGTCTGTTTTTTTGTAAGTTTCCTCGATCCTTGCGTCGCCTCCAGGCTTCCCAACTTGAAAACGCGTGCCAGTTCTGCCAACCAAAAAGATTTTCCTTCATTACCACTCGATACTCAAAAAAGATCGAATATAACACCGAGCCGCTGTTGGAGTTACGTTGTTTAGGCTTAGCGTAGTGGGTGTACACTACAAGTGTCATTATTATTCCGAAACGGTTTTGCGAGTACTCGCAGGGGAAGGAATGTAAATTCTCTCTCGGAGGGGACCTTTTTTTTTGTCCTCGTCAACTTCGCAGTTGAATGAATTTCTCTGAATCACGCCCGTGATTGTTTGTGAGTTAAAGGTCGGTGCGGGAAGTATTATTTTATAGGTCGGTTTCGGATGTTCGTATCCAATTGCTTGGAATGTTAAGCCTATTTGACTCGATTTCGTGGATTCTATTTGTAATAAGGCACGTTCATGATGCAACGAATCGAACATATTTAGCTAATTTTCAATGGTATGGATTTACAATTAGCTAGAATCAGCCTAGCCACATCTTACACTGCCTTACTTATTCCCGTGTTTTCTTACTGCACAGGAAAACTAAGCACATAGTTTCCTTAAACTTTTCGTGACTTTTCCTGACAGTGTGACGGGTATTCCGAAAAATATTCAAGGTGGAATCTTGTTTAGTTTTTTCGTGTAGGAACATAAAGTATATGGGACAATTTAAGCAACGTTTAATGTACTTAGGTTTATTTTGGCTAATATCACTCTGTCGATACCGCTCAGCCAATACCTATACTCTCCATCGTCGGAATACACTTTTTTCACAGTTGTTTCGTTCAGAAAAAGGGATTTCAATTTTAAAGAAGAAAATATAGTCACAAACCTTAAACGCGGAGGCACCCCAAAGCCTCATGGAAAAGTCCCGTACGCGGAAAAATCCATGACGGTCCTCCAGGAGCCTGAGGCTTTTACTTGAGGAAATAAGAACAAAATATCATAGAAAAATACAATGGCTCTCCTCGCTTGTTTTCTTTGAGACTTTGGAAGCTAAATATAGGACCCGTTCGATGCGAAGCTTCAAGTAGTGTCGACTGTATCGAGAAAAATTCGTCGGGAAACTTTATTTTTCTGGCTTCGATAAGCGAAGAATCCTTCACAATTCGACCAAATCCAAAAGTATCTAAGCTTTGCCTACTTTATTGGGTCATTGAAAAATGGCTCACGCTGCGCGCTGTCCGCTGTGTTCATAAACGATAGCAAGATTATATTAATTTTTTAAGCTTTTAATTCAAACAGCGACAAAAATGAGGCTTCGGCTAACAGTGAAACGAAGTGGACTGAAAGTTAATTCCGTTTAACATCAAGATATACATACATCTGAGCTTCGCGTTTTTCAACTGAAATAAAGTTGTCTGGGCATCTCTCATTTATATTTGTTTACTTGTTAAAATTATAGACTGGGAAGATTTTGTTTGATATTGATACATCTTGTCCCTACGCTAAAAATACACATAACAACATTTTGAACAACATTTTGAACAACATTTTGAAAGCGGTTAAGACATTTTCACGTCACCCAATTGCTGCCTTTAAACCGGTTTCCTCGATCGATTTTAAAAACATCCGCGCAAATTTACGAATTTTGTTTCTCCCCGATCGCATGAATCGGAATGCTACTGGACTCTTCTTTACAAACAGGTCTGCCAACCTGAAGGTACTACAACACACTTTAAGATGCTTCAAATCACCCCCCTGCTCCCCTTCTCATTTACCCCCACCGCGTGAACGTCTTTACATTTTTTTCATATCTTTTATTTTTTCCCGCTTTCTCTCTTGGTACCAGCTTAAACATTATGAACAAACAGCACAGAAATACTAAAATCTTCTAAGTTATCGAGGGTCCTCCCCAAAGTCCTATCATTTTCATAGTTCTCTCTGCTGCGTTAAAGAAGGCTATGTGTTCCCCAGATCTTTTTGGGCGCTAAGAATTATTTTGTGAACGTTTTCATCAGCAAAGGGGCTCAATTGTGTTGGAAAGTTCGAATGTTGAAGAGCCGATTCCTTGGTTCATCAATGAGTGCGTCTATTATTATGACCATTTCAGCAAATTTTTGATGAATCCCAATGAATATTCACCCAAAACTTTTAAACTAATAATTTGCAACTCGTCTTGGCCGGATTCAATGCAACATTACGACAAATTAGTACCGGGAGGAAAAATTCTCAGTAGAGCATTTTTCGTTGAGTTGGGTTTGACAAATCTGATTATGATATTTTAGAAGACATATTTTCCGTCGAAGTTAAGAAATTCGACTTTTCCATTCAACTCAACAAAAATCGCTGCACTGAAAATATGAACCCCGTGCAGGGGCCTCATTTCCTTAGCTCCTCTGAACTAAAGGAGTATCTGTATTTTCACATGAGCCCCGGAAGCTAGGAGTTAAACTGAGCGTAGGGCTCACTTGGAAATTGAGTTACGCCCTAACGTCAGAGGGGGACGATTTACGAGGACTGGTGAAGAAAAAGCCTCGTCCCCTGCACTGGAAAAAAAACACATTGGATCTAGAGTCCAGACTCTTAAAAACATCGACTATAGAAAAAGTACTCTTGATTCAATCAGAATCTAGCTTAAATCAAGAACCAAGCATCTTAATTTAAGCGGATTTCGTTTTGATTCAAGCAAAAATCCTATTGAATCAAGAGTATTTCTTCTTGTCAATGTTTTCAAGAATCTGGACGCTTGATCCAATGTGGTTTTTTTTCAGTGTGCTAAAGTTTAAAATTAACTTTTCACAGGCAAATTAGGCACATTTCAATCACATTTTCGGGTAGGTATTTTTGGAGTGTTGTTGAAGTTTCGTCTCCTCCAAATGACCTTAACCCCCTCTGATGAATTGACGGTCCTGTGTCCGTAGACTCTCTCTTCCCGTAGACGGCATAAACCTAATTGCATCTAGTTACTTGAAAAGACGACAGCCCAAAGTCGAAGGACTAAATTGATACTAAACGACGAAAGCGCCGCGTCGAGCGATTAGCGGCGCTTCAAGTCGGCACAAATTGGCGCGACTAAAGAGTGACGGTCCGCGGAAGACAATCGGAGGAGCGGATTAGGCGTGCGGGGTGGGCCCCCCGTGCCCCCGGGCGGCGGCGGCGCCGGCGCGAAGCCGCTCGCACTGGCGCTCGCGGAGCCGCAAACGCGCCAGCGACCTGAGATGCGCGGCGAGGGACCTCGAGATGGGCGTCTACCAGGAGCACTGCAACTACAAGTACAAGTACGACCACGGATACGACTACCGGCACCTTGATCAGGGCTTCACCACGTGCCAGCATTGCGGCGGTTATAAGGTGAGTCCCCCAATCCGACAGAGGGAAATTTCTCACACGCAACAGGGAATTTGGGAAACTCTCGCCCCCTCAAAAAATAGTACCTCTTCCTACAAATTTGTACCTTCTGCACCACCTCTCTGAAAAGAACCAAGCCACATCAGCTATTGCCAAATTTAACCGGGCAATTCAATTTTTTATAAGAGAATGTTTGTAAGGACTCCTTTAAACATTGTAAGGAATTTACTTCGTACTATGCGGCAAATTCACTGAAATTTCCACAAAAATCCGTACAGCCCTGCCGTGATAACGAAGAGAGCCGTAAGTGCAAAATTTTCGAAATCGAGTTTTCTTCAAAATTCGTCTTATTTCTTTTAGATGAAATTACTGAGACAGCTAAAACAGCAAAATTCATCCTAATTTAATGAAAACGAGACGTATGAGAAAGCCGTAAGTGCACAAAAAATGACTTGGTTTTTTTCAAGGCAACCGCAGGTGCATGAGAGCCAATGAAAACAGTGCTTTCCAGTAAAGTGCCGCCCTCTTCTGCCAATTTCTAACCTGAAAATGTGTTTGTTGTGCGTCCAAAACGCAACCACGAAAGCATGTAGAAGATAGCACTTACGGCTGTCTTGCCCAACAATAACCTAACACGAAATTGAATTTTACCTTTTTCATGTACTTTAAAATAAAATTGGTCGAGTTTTAATCCCTCAAATGATTACTAGGAGTCTTCCGGACGATTAGTGGCAATTTGACAAAGAATGGAGGCTTCTTTCAATAAAATGTTCCACTCAGAAGCTTCTGAGCCCGTTTTCACAGAACTTCATTTTTGCACTTAATGCTCTCTTCGCTATCACGGTAGAACCGTCTTTGATAAAACATTAAATTTTCTAATTGAATTTGGCAGTAGCTGATGTAGCTTGGTTCCTTTCTACTTAACGCGGTCAAACTGTACTCCGAAGGGTCCACTGATAACCAGGGCCGAAACTTCCTTCGCTCCGGATAAAAATATTGTTTTGCATGCCTTGTTTCTTTCGTTTTTGTAGCACATTGCCTTTTAAAGTGAAGCCAACTCAAGTGATTGTTGAAAGGTGCAAAAACTGGAGTAAGAAAAATATCTTTTCAATAGTCCTTATTTTAGGAAAGCTGCTTTTTCTGTGGTATCTCCAGGTAATTTTCCGCAAAGTCAAATGAAATAATTCCCAAAATGAGTGTTTTCAGGTAAATCGTCAAGTAGACATATATTTTTATCAAGAGGTAGCAATCATGGAACACGTAATATATTTCTCTTCTTTTTCTGTTCTCTCAACTAGGATAAAGGTTATAGTTCGGGGNGGGGGGGGGGGGGGGGGGGGGGGGGCTACCCACGAAAAAGAGGGATCGAAAAGCTTAAAGCTCAGCTCCTACGAAATGAGGAAGTGCTAATGTCCTTATTATAAGACAGTTGGAAATCTAGGAACGAAATCAAGAGCGCATTTCACTCTCATACTTACTTTACAAAACCCCTTTACAAAACTGTTCGATCCAACTTTACGAATAAAAGCTCGCCCCTAAAATTAGCCTCCAGGGATGGCCACTCATGATTACTCACCATACTAATTTAGGCCACCGCTTTAGGCGAAAGATCACCGAGGATAGCTCTCGTACATCGGTAGTTTCCCGCAACAACATACAGCCATCATCTTTGTTCAACCATCCCAACTCTCCACTAAAACTCACCTTTCGGCATGATGCTCTTCGCAGTCTCCAGCGGGAAATTGGATTCGATGAAAGTCTCGATCTTATCGCAGGCGGTGATGATCTTCAGGAAGTTCGGATCATGCGACGCGTTCTTCCTCCTGATGACTCGAATATACCTCTTGAAGACGTCGCAAACAGTTTGCAGGTCTCGCGTTGATTCCATCATCAGTCGACAAGCCTCGCTCTTACTTATCTTCACATTCCTGACGAAGACATCCGGGTTGCGGAAGCAGAGCGTCAGGGTCGCGATTGCCATGCACTGCGGAATGGCGCAGAAGTTGAAGGCGCTCTGCTCCTGGACGCCCGTCAGGTAGGAGAGACACTCGGGGACGTGCTCCAAGGCGTCGAGCACCATCTCGGAGCCGCAGTTGAGGGCCGCCAGCCGGTGCTCCGGGTCCAGGAGGTCCTCGAAGTCGTGGACGTACTTGGACCAGACGGCGCGCGGCCAGAAGCGCCGCCCGTCATCGGCGTCCTCCTTGATGTCCCGGATGATGTTGGTCTTCTGGAGGAAGAGCCCCATGGACACCTGGAGGCGGCGTCCGTCCTGGAGCGCGGGCGGCGGGCGGTAGAACTTGGCCTCGAGGAACATGTCGGTGAGGCCCTCGCCGACGACCCCGGCGGCGTAGTAGCAGTACTCGTCGTAGTCGTCGCGGGTGTCGATGCCCGGGCCGTCGCTCTCGGCGCGGAGGCAGTAGTCGGCCATGGCGTGGCCCATCCGGCGGATGATGTCCCTGATGATGTCCTTGTAG